GCCGCGCCCCCGACCCCCTGCCCCCGCAACAGCTTCTCCGAGGACTAAAGCTGGGGTCCTCGGAGGGAAGGCAGGGAGGGAGGGAGGGAGGGAGGTGGAGAAACCCACCCTCCCCATCTGACCCTCTCTCACCAGGCTGGGGGGGTACGGGGGGTGGGGAGGGGCATTTTAGCGTCTTAAGGGGGGTTCACGTGTGACACGTTTTAAGTTTTCCGTGCTTTTATACACCTTTGATTCATGCCATGTTGTTATTCCTTTCTGTCCCCTTCTTAAAAAAAAAAAAAAGAAAGAAAAAAAAAAGGTAGTGGGTAGGAAGTTCCCCTGCATGTCTGTTTGATAGCAGTAACCTCTCTGTTGGTGCTTTCAGCTTTTGTGCTGCCTTGAAATTTTTTTTTTCCTTTTTGTACCAGGGACGTGCTAAAAAACAAACACAAACAAAAAAAAAAAAACAGAAACCACACACGCGCGCACTGTGAGAAGTTTTCCATCGTAATTCTCTTTCAATGGGACAGACGACAGGATGTGCATTGGGGTGGACTGTGCCCCCAGGATGGACTCCACCCGCAAAGAGCTGGCCTTGCCAAGGCCAAGAGAAAGTCAAGGTTCCCACCCCTTGGCGGAGAAGCTGGCGACCTCGCGGCGGGCACAGGTGGCATCCGTGTGGCGTGGCGTTGTGGACTGGACTGGTCCCCGTGTGGGCACCTGGCAGCCTTGTTTACCAAAACCCGAGTTACAAACCCCCACCCCTGAGTACACTTTAACAAGCAGTAAAGGTTCTTGTGATACGATCGTTTCTGGTGCTTCTTTATCTTTCCTGCCGCCGCGTGCATGCGGGTTGGGTTGGGTTGGGTTGGGGAAACGGGTGGGTTTACAAGGGGCCGCAGATGACAACTATTTCCGTGGGGGGTGGGACGGTCACGACTCCTGGTTACTCACAGGCAGTGTGAACTTTCATAGTTTTATTTATTTTTTAAATGCAGCACACACACAGGTTCAACACTCAGGCCAGTCCAGAAAGGGCTAAAAAAAACACAAATGCTCAAATCATAGTCCAGAGAAGTAGCAGTGACGAATATGGAGGACAATTTCCTTTTCTTGTGGTCACTTAAACAGCACTTGCTTTTTTTTTTTTTTAACTTAACCCTCACCACAGCCTTTTGCACCGGGGAGGGAGGAAGATCAGGAACAAAGCCGGTATTTAACTTGCCCGAGATCATAAAAGTTTAACGAGAGGAAGGGCTGGGATTGGAACCCACGCAGGAGACCTCCAAAACTTTTCCCCACCTGCCTCCAACTGCCCCCTTCCCCGTCCATTTTAGTTTATTCCTCAAAATTTCACGTTAGAGTCTCTACTCTTAGTGCCCTACCCCAAATGCATGTGCACACACATGCACGCGCACACACACACACACACACACACACACACGGCTAAGGGATCCTCCCATTAATCTTTTAGAGAAAGCAATCACATTCTGGTTGTACAAATTAAGAAACTTGGTCTCAGATTGATGGACCTAATCAAGTCACACTCCGGCTTAGCAGTGAAGTCAAGGTTTGAAACACGGCCCTCCCTTGAAGGGCTGAAGTGGAGGAGCCAGAAGAAAACCCGTGGGACTCCC